GTGTCTGAGGCTGTGTAGGAACCTGGGACTGTGGGTCCAGACTCTGCTAGGTTTGCAACCCTTTCGGAGTTTAGGCTTGCAGTGGGCTTGGGCACAGAGGTAGCATAGATATCGGTGCAATTGGAACTGACACTTTCGGGCCTTTCGGGCACCTCTGCGGTACACAACTATCTGACCAATGATTCAGTGTAGTGCTGTCGCTCTGCTCTCAGCAGTCTAGGCTTTTTGCCAATTGTGCTGCAGGTTGGAGGTAAATAACGGCCCAATACCCATAAAACAGCTATTCTTCTACATCCTTTTGGGGTCCAGGTAAGGATCATCAGTGCGGGTTGGGCTTTCAGGGCTTCAGCCCTCAGCCCCATGGTCTACCTGGAGCCCCTTGCAAGGCCTTTTGTCCTTAAGGAAAACTCTGCATTACTTGATGGCACTGCTGCTATGTGAGTCTTAATATATATATATATATATATATATATATATATATATATATAAGTATATGTATATATATATATATATATACATACATACATACAGGAATTCCTGCACTCCAGGTGCGATGGCCTTCCATATACCCCGGCCATGAGCATGCATGTGGCGTTTGACCATGCGCGCCATCTTGTTCCGAAGCCTGCCCATCCCTGGGGCCCCAGGTACCTAAATAGACAACTGCTGGAATAGAATATGCCCGGACCCCAAAAGTATGTAGAATGATAGCATTTTTTTGGTATTGGGCCATTATTTTACCTACTTTGGGGAGTTTAAGTATGCCCTACTATTCGGTACTAGCCCAACCGTAAAGCCATAAGCCCCCACAGCCCCAGACGTCCGACTCACAGACCCTAAACCCATGGGGAGTCCAGAGCCGAATACCCTAACTGCTGAACCCTACTACGGTTGATGATATAAATCCTGCATGACCTTAAGGACCCCAAACTATGGGAATTATGGTATATTCCTTATTATGGGTCATGCAGGATGTCCATCATCCACCCTACTAGGACCTTGCAATGGCCCTTTAATGGAGCCCTTATGGTCCTTAATAGTGGGTATTTAGGGTATATTACCGGTAGCTGGGGGTTTAAGTAAACCCGTGGGCAACACCCCAAACCCAAAAGCCTCTGAGGCAACGACAAGAGTGACGATCTTGGCGATCGCTTAGCGCGACAGCGCAACTGGGATCTCCGTAGCGCTGCGAAGGCAGGGCACTTTTACTTAGGGGTACTTAGATATAATTTTCGCTTTTGGTTATTATAGTCCCTAAGAAACAGCTAAAACCATAATTGTTGCTAAGGTTCTATTTTCAGTATAGTTTATATCAAGACAAAACATTGGGTTCGTGGGATTTGTACGGTATCTTCAGGAACCGTGTGGTATGCGCAGTGTGGTCCTTAGGTTTGGTTTAAGCGTAAAGAGACTTTTGAGCGTCTTGTTCTGGTCCCTGGTGGTTGGTGGTATCCTGGTGGTCTCGTGTCCCAGTGGTCGAGATTGTCGTGGTCGTCACGGTCGCCCTGGTGCTCTACCACTGTTTGGGGTCTATGCTGACATAGTTGCGTGATTATTGTAGCAGTGAGTTTGGAGGTTTAGGCATTTGGAGTCTCGGCGCATTGTTTCAATCCTTGTCAGGTCTAAGTCCAGTTCAAGTTTCTCAGTGTTGATGCAAACTTAAATTGATGTTTCCAGCCTCCAAATATATGCATCAAAGGGTTCGGATTGGACAGGCACGTGGTGCCCCATCTGCACTCGTTTTCCAGGATAGCTGGACCCCGAAACCTTACCCCATAAGCCCAAGTCCTCAAGTGGGTGAACGAACCTTTCTGCAAGTGACAGTGGCGACCTTCCGCCTTATCCGCGTGGCCCGAGCTCTGGGACCAGGGATCGCATTCCCATAGTGCCCGGAACCCTTAAAAAGTTTTCAACCTCAAGCCCCATGTTCCCAAAATACTGCAGGGCAAGGGTCCCTATCCTCGAACCCCCTGATTGACACGACGAGGATGCCTTGTGCGCCATCCTTTCGTGTCTCTGTTGCCGGACCGAGAAGGCACCCGATTGCGCTGGGAGTTGAGAGGGCTCGGGATGAAGCTGGCATCGTAGGCCACGAAAGCCCTGCACGCTACACCCGACACTTTAGACAACACGCTCAACCCCTAAACCTCTAAACCCTAAACTCCTAAGCCCCTAAACCCTACACCCCTAAGCCCCTGAACCCTAAACCCTCAAGAATCCGGGTCGTCAATGAAGTTTTGCCGGAGATTTTGGTCTTCCGCGTTTCGTCCCTCGGACCACTGGGGAGCAAGGTTGACAAAGACAACCCCACACCCGAAACATGCAGAGACCGGGGAACCCGAAAAGCCGTGGCCCTCAAAGCTAGGTCTTCTGCTTCTTCTACCTAAACCGTAAACCCTAAACCCCACATCCTAAACCCAAGCCCTAAACCGTACTGCCTGAACTTGGGAAAGGGCCCGTTGCATTTTAAACCAAAGACTTGCCTTGGAAGTTCCGGGCCCTCAGGCTCCCTGCTCATATGGCTAACAATACGGTTCCAACCTAAGCTCCGTCTCCTTATTGCAGGTGTCTTCGTTTTGTATGCCTCCTAACCCCCCCCCAAAGTAGGTAAAATAATGGCCCAATACTTATAAAAGGCTAGTATTCTACATACTTTTGGGGTCCAGGTAAGGATCAAAGGCCACTCCTCTGCTGCGCGTAACAGCCTCAAGGAGCAGCACCGTCAATTGTAAGGTTGAGGGAATCTTGCTGGCATTAAGTTAACGCGTGGACATTGGCTGGATTGTCGGCATCTCCATTGGAGAGAGCTGTAATGCCCATACACCACTAGACATGCGTGCACATGAATTCTTCTCATGTCTGCCATGGCTGAGAATCCGCCGAAGAGTGTGCGCATCAACATTGGTGGTGAGAAGGTCATTCAGGTCCATACAGAGTTGTTTCGTGTGGCCGGAGACAACAAATTATCTGCACTGTTCTCTGGTCGGTGGGAGCCTCACCTGGACGCCAGTGGCCACTTTTTCTTCGATTACTCTCCTGAAGTGTTCATGCCTTTTGTCGAGTGGCTGCGTGAACTGCGTGACACTCCACCAGGTCAGAAGCCTCCATGTATCGAAGTTGACAGCAGGCATCGCCGTGCAATCATCCGGATGATGGCTGCATTCGCGATTGAGGTGCGTTACCTTCGTCATGCTGGGTTTTCAGTTGAGGAGTTACTATCCTTGGGCTTTGCTGTCGGTTGTTGCTTCGCCGGTGGATGCGCAGCGAGGGAGCTCCTCCATGCCGGAGCCAGTATCCAATCATTAAAGGAGGCCGGGGTACCGGCTTCAGACCTCAAAGACGCAGTGGCTGCCAAAGAGCTGAGATTGGCAGGATATACTGTCGCTCATTGCTTGCAAGCAGGAGACACGGTTGAAGAGCTCCTAGACATGAGGATGTTCACTTCGGCAGAGCTGCGCGAGGCTGGAGTTACCGCGAAACAGCTGATCGATGCGGGATGTGACCTACCAACTTTGCAGCAGGCAGGTTTCGGCGTCGGTGATGTTTTGCAAGCAGGGGTCACCGTTGAAGTGCTTTTTGCCACCAGGTCGTACACAATGGCAGAGCTTCATGGGGCTGGAGTTACTGTGAAACAGCTGATCGACGTCGGATGTGACATACCAACTTTGAAGCAGGCAGGTGTCGGTGTCGGTGATGTTTTGCAAGCAGGTGCTACGGTTGAAAAACTGCTAAACGACAAGTTGTTCACTGCGGCAGAGCTTCACAGGGCTGGAGTTACAGTGAATCAGCTGATGGATGCCGGATGCGATCTAGCGACGTTGCAAAAGGCGGGTATTGGAGTCTGTGATGTTTTGCGAGCAGGGGCCACAGTTGAGGCAATTCTTGCCACCAAGACGTACACTTTGGCAGAGCTTCATGGGGCTGGCGTGATGGTGAAAGGACTGATCCCGGATGCGATCTACCAACTTTGAAACAGACATCGGTGATGTTTTGGAAGCAGGGGCCGCAGTTGAAGTTCTTTTTTGCCACCAAGCCGTACTGTACACTTTGGCCGAGCTTGGCAGGACTGGAATTACTGTGAAACCGCTGCTGGATGGTGGATGCGATCTACAAACTTTATCTGCGATGGCGGCCAAGGAGGCGGCAGGGTACACTGTCGCTCATTGCTTGCAAGCAGGAGAGACAGTGACAAATCTCCCAGACACGAGGTTGTTCACTGGGGCAGAGCTTCATGAACCTGGGGTTACAACGAAACAGCTGTTGGATGCCGGATGCGATCTACGGACTTCAGGTGCAACGGCGGCTGAAGAGCTGAGATTGGCAGGTTATACTGTCCCTGATTTCTGGCAAGCAGGGATGAGCCAGAGCTTGTGAAATGCCTTGACTATAGGCCATCCATCTGCCAATAGTATGCATCTCGTCTCTTCGTGTCGCATGGTACGCTGCCAGAGAATTACGAGCTGAAGGTCATGGCACGTGCAAGGTGCTATGTGCAATTGGTGTTCAGGGACTGCAAGCACTAATCATCTGCCTCTATCTTTGACCTACATCAAACGCTGTGGATGGTGGCCGAAAAGCAAGCATGCGACAACTTTGATTTGGGTGTCATGCTCCGGGTCTGGGTTAATGGTTTCGGGTTTGTGTTAACAGTTTGGGTACATCAGCTGGAACCCCAAAGGCAGCACGCATTGTTAAACTTTTCGGTGCAAAGGATTCAGATCCAAATCTTTGCTGAACTGTTTCAGGATAGGCAGAACGGTTGAACAGCAAAAAACAGGTGTGAGCCTTTGGGGTGTCTTTGTTTGTTTCGGGTGGGGTCAGGGTCTGAATCTACAGGGTTCAACGTAGGGCTGTTTTAACCCTAAACCCTAAACCCTAAACCCTAAACCCTAATGTCTGCCTTGTTGCGTTCATGATTGTCTTCGCGCTGCAGCCATTCTCTCTTCGAGACCGAATCCCCTCCGGTTTCTGGATCTTCATTTGGCCAAGTAGAACCCACCATGGCCATGATCCGCACCATGATTTCCATCTTCTTTTTGAGCTCCGTTGCCACTTGGAGGCATCCGAGCTGCTTCGAGATTCCCTCGCGCACCTGCCAGCGCCAACCCCAAAACAATAAACCCTCAACCCGTAACCCGCAACCCCCAAACCCCTAGACCCTAAACCCATAAATCCTAAACCCTAAATCCTAAACCCTAAGCCCCTAAACCCTAAACCCCTAAATCCTAAACCCTAAACAGGGCCGCCAGAGGCCGATCGAATGAGCTCAGGTGTCGGTGAGCGCCATGTTCAAGAAGGGCTCGAAGCAGCTCGTTGAGGTGGGATGAGGGTTTTGGGGGTTTGGGATTCAGAGGTTTAGGGTCAAGGGTTTATAGGGTTTTGGCGCTTCAGGGCTTGAGGGGGTTAGGATTTAGGTGGGATTCGGGTTTAGGGTGAATCAGTGAAGGGATTTAGGGTTTAGGGGTTCAGGGTTTAGGGTTTACTGTAGGGTTTCCGGCGGCAAGACGTACAGGGGAGAGTTGTTGTTTCTGGTTTGGGAATAGCCTTTTGCTTGTCGGGTTTAAAGGGGTTTGGGGTGTTGGGCTGTTCCGGACGTACGGTGTCAGAGTTTGTTGATTTAGGGCGTTAAAGGGCCCTTCACAACTTCAGTCTGTGTAATTATGCGCAAGGCTTCACAAGAGGGCTTTGGTTTCTTATAAAGGAACACAGAGGATTTCCCAATACTCAAAACTTCCAACCCTTGAGCCCTAAACCCGGAAGCCCTCCCAAGCCCTTGTCACTGAGTAGTTGATTTAATATATATATATATATATATATATATATATACACTAACAGAAAGTAACTAACATAATATGATATAGATTCGTGTGCTATAGAACATGATATAGATAATCTAGTATCACATGTCATTATTCTTGTCTGCAGGACCATCTCGATGGTCAGATGCCTGTTGCCACCAAGCTGGAGAAGAAGGCCAGAGTTTGGCATGTTGGTCATAAAGTTTGGCGGTTTAGAGTTCAGGGTTTACGGTTTGGGGGGTTTAGAGGGGTCCTTATAGGTTCCTTTAAAGGGGTCTATGAGGAGGACTATAAGGGGTATTTTGGGGGTTTTGGGTTTGAGGGTTTTCGGGTTTAGAGTTTCGGGGTTCAGGGTCTGGGGGTTTAGGGTGATAAAGTTTTCCAGAGGCTCAGGTCTCACGACGGTCGCATCTCCGGACTAGGAGACCGACTTCAGATCGTAGAGCCCTTGGGCACGGAACCCCAATGCCAATCAAAATCCGCTAGAGCATGACTGTAATAACCACATACGAGTACACAACGATGAGAACGGTTAGTGCTTACTACTACTACTACTACTACTACTACTACTACTACTACTACTACTACTACTACTACTACTACTACTACTACTACTACTACTACTACTACTACTTGGCAGTAGCAGTACTAGCAGTGGCGATCGCAGAAGTACTGTCGCAGCCCTAGTAGTAGCAGCAGCCGCAGCCGCAGTCGCAGCCGCAGAAGCAGCAGCATGAGGAGGAGCAGGAGGAGGAGGATGAACAGGAGGAGGACTGCTGCTACTACCACTCCTCCTGAACTTGGCCAGCTTTGGGTCCCTCTGCAGTGAAGGTGTGGCTAAGAACTGAGCAAACTGATGCCTTTCGCTGTTGGCGGAAGATCCGGCTGGCTTGGCTTTAGAGCCTAGGGTGTAGGGCTTCAGTTTCTGCTTTGGGGTTAAGGGTTGTTTGACTTGAGATATCACTCGGTTTGGGCATGCGGATGCATGGCTTGGTGGCTTTGGGCTTTGCTTTGTTCCAAGCTTCCGGATAGCGAGAGATCGTGGCGGGAAGCTATGGCTGTACCTTTCGTAGTTTGGGCTCGCAACTCAATGAGTGATCCGCTCAACTACTCGTCGCAGGACTTGCCTTTAGCCTCAGTGACGACCGGTTCTGAGATTTTACAGCTTTCTACAACGCCGCGACTACAAAATCCAAAGAGCATAATTGAACTGTGCGAAATTTCGAACGCACTTCCAGCAACGCCCCTCTTCGCTGAATGAACTGCGCTCTCTGCTGTGTAGCCTGGTATCAGGAGGCACCGCAACCAGATGCCCATGTGGCGCTGCAGCAGAAGAAGGCACACACACACATGGAAGTCGCTTTTGTGGCTGGGGTTTCTTTCGGGCTTAGTTACGTTGAGAGTTCAGGGTGTGGGGTGGACGCTTTGGGGGCATGGTTTTGGGTTCCTAGCCTCAAAAGTATGAGCTTTGCTCTGACAGGAAGTTGACAGCCGAAGAAAGCATATTGACAGTCTAGGACTCCATGTAGTTGCTGCAGGAAGAGTGTTCTCCAGTCAGAGCGGCTTTAGCAATGGAATATGGGGGTTTCCGACAATTGGGGTACCTTATTTTAGGGGTCCTTATAATATGGATCCTACTATTTAGGGTACGATATTAAGGTCCCCTATTTTCGGCAACCCCCATATGAAACGGGCTACGCAGTGTTTGCAGCATGCTTCGGGGATGCGGCTTCACCCATATGCAGGCTCTATAGACGAACTTGAGAGGCAAAGGCCTCCAACCTCATCCTACGAGACACACATTGCAGCAGTCTTGACAGATTGCCTGTGGCTTGAGCCTAAACCCGAAAGCCAAAAATCTCCGTGAGCAGGATTTTCCCAGCCTGCCGCCTCTGGGCAACATCGGTGACATCATCAAGAGTGCCCAGGAGACAGGGTATAGATGCATGTAAAGCCTGCTCGTAACTTCGATAGTGCTGGGCCGGAAAGTTGAAAGCTCAGACAGCCAAATCCGCAAAAAACAAAAAAACATGTCCTGGGGTACAGTAAAACTGCAGGCTTTATCTAGCTCAGCCGGTCCATAATCGTTTGTCGTTGAGTTGTTGGATAGGGACCATCACGCCGCCAGCAGTGTGACAAGTTTTGATAAAGTGCATCAGACTCGACCGAAGTCTTCAGCTCAATCCTGGCGAATCCTAAAGAATTTCCAAGATAAGAGATAAGAGGCCCTACTTGTAGCCTCAGGCCCTAAAGGAAGAATCCGAAACCCCCTAAGCATGCCGAAAGTAAGTCAAGCTTTGTGACCAGGATGCCGTCAACAAGACCATCGAGGCTGGCAAGGAGGCCGCTGGCGCACGGGGGTGGCAAGGGCGAGCTGGTGGTATGGTGTGATTCTAGCATACTATTATAGTCCATATATACGTTATGAACTTATCATACTAGCGTATATAATCAGCTAGAGTATAAAGCATCTGACGTATGCAAAAGTAGCCATGTATGTACATATAGATATACACATTCAGACATACATACTTACATACATACATATATATATATATACATTTATATATATATATATATATATGTATATATACATATATATATATATATATATACATATATATATATATATACATATATACATATATGTGTGTGTACAAGCATTTAAGTATATGTATACATATATACATATATGCATATGTGTATATATATATATATATATACACATACAACATACAAAACAACATGGCATAATGCAATGTACACTAATAGTACAGCATAACATGCATTGATACAGTATGATACAGTATATTGCAGTGTAGTGTAGTGTAGTATCGTATAGTACCGTCTATCATAGAAAAGTTTCATATTATGCTATTTTACACGATCTTTTTGTGGATGGATATCAACAGTTGTTTCTACATATATGTACATATATATACATATATATATATATATATATATATGTTGGCTCCAGTGCAAATTGTTATGAGCACAAAGCAAGCTTTGGAACAGAAGGGCATGTGACCTCAACTTCGTGGCGCGGCGAGGCTGTGGAGGGCGCAGTCGAGGGCGCCAAGGACGTGGCGCTGGATGTCCTGGAGGCTGCTTTTGACTATGCTTCTGGCACCTATAAACCGCCCAGGTATCGACTATGTTTCTGGCAGGTGTTGTTCTGACAACCACGCTAGTACCACATGACCCTCGATCGTTCGAGGAGCTAGGCGGCTTGCGGGATGACATTCCAAGAGCTTGTTTAAGGTCTTGAGGTTTGGAAGTCATATGGGTCAGGCCGAATCCTAAACCCGAAACCCCTGAACCCCAAAACCCTAAACCCCTAAACCCCAAACCGTCGATCTTCGACTCCGGCAACTCAGAGGCGGGCGCTGGGAAAGTGAACGAGACTTTGGACGTCCTGGGTGGCGAGGTCCTGGAGGCGCTACTTTGGGGCCCTAAAGGGGTTTAGATAGGTTTATAAAGGGTTTATATAGGGTTTAGGGTTTACTTAAAGGGGTTTAGATAGGGTTTAGGGTTTACTTAAAGGGGTTTAGATGGGGTTTATATGGGGTTTAGGGTTTACTAAAAGGGGTTTTATATAGGGTTTATATGGGGTTTAGGGTTTAGGGTTTACCTTAAAGGGGTTTAGATAGGGTTTATATAGGGTTTAGGGTTTACTTAAAGGAGTTTATAGGGTTTATATAGGGTTTACATAGGGTTTATGGTTTACTTTGTCGTAGTTGGACAACATTTGGAAGTTTTCTGGGTACGTGAGACATTCTTTTTCGTTTCTATTCCAACCATGAACTGGTTTAGGGCTTCGGGGTTTAGGATTTGCGGCTTCGGGGATTGGCGTTTAGGGTTCAGGCGCAAGCTGCACGAACTTCCAAATGGTTCTGGGTTTGGGTTTTGAGGTCAGGGGTTTAGGGTTTAGGCGTTTAGGGTTTTGAGGTTTCGGTGCCAAACGTCCATCACATTACTGGTTGGTCTTGATTTCGCCTGCGATTGCAGGGGCTCTGCTCAATGTTGCCTGTGAGCCATCAACAGCAAGTAAATATCTGATGTTGCGTCGCCCATTTGGCATCCGTGCTTCTCCTTGAATTGAGCACGTGGTGGCCGTTCGAGATCAGGCTTCAACGGTCCTTCTCAAGCGAAGTCGTATACCACACGGCTGTGATGAGCACGACAACTGGACCTCTTTTTTTGCAAACAAGCGCCCACAGCCTTTGACGCAGGTCAATTCCACAGCTGCTGGTGCCATGGCCGAGGTGGGCTGAAGATTGCAGTGCGTAGTCGGGCCATAGCGACCGAGTCAGGCCCTGGTTAGAAATTCAGGGGTTTGAGATAAAGCTCTTGAGCTGTACACGGTTCGGCCGGTTTTTTGTTTTGACAAGGCTTGTTAGAAGTACGGTTTATGAGTCCTTTACGACTGTTTGCGGTGTGATTTCTAGGACAAGCGCCTGCAAAGCTATGAAGCATTGCAGAGAAATTTTGCTCCGGTTTGATACCGCTAAGGGTACCCCGGGACCTCCAAATCGCCGCAAGTGCGTAGAATTTATACGGACATTACTAATAGACCCCATAGAATGTAGCATATAGCACATGTATGTATATATATATATATATGTATATATATATATATATATCTCTCTCTCTCTCTCTCTCTCTCTCTCTCTCTCTCTCTTTGTGTGTGCATACTTGCACCGTATTTGTAGGATCCTGACTTTAAGCTGCCTTCTTGGGAGCCTCGGGCTAGGGTCCGGTATGGATCCTCATCTTCAGGCGCTCTTTGGGAGAGCTCCTGTGGTGACTGCCAGGTGAAAGCCAAGGTTCACATGGCGGAGAACAAGGCTGCTGCCTTCGTTGACACGGCCAAGGACCGCCAAGTCCTGCTGTTTTGTGGGGGTGAGGGTATGTGGTTTGGATCACAGGTTTCATGAGTTCAGGGCTTTTTGGGTTTAGATGGTGGAGGGCTTTGGGGCTTGACTGTATTTGGGGCTTCGGGGTTTAATTGCGCTTCGGAAAGTAATGGTGTGTTCCGGGTTTCGCACTTATGCTGCAGACTTGAGGAAGACACTGGGTTCAGAGTTGAGGCCTTGTCGGGCTTGCATATGAGCCAAGGCAAGGATCTATTCTTCGACTGTTTGAGGCAGTCTTCCAGAGTGAGTTTTACCATGATTCCGCAAGTATATTAACACGGGCTTCTAGAAGCGCTCTCTTCGTCCCTTAGGGTTTAACAGGGCATACCTAAACCCCCCAAAGTAGGTAAAATAATGGCCCAATACCCATAAAGGGCTATTATTCTACATTGACATACTTTTGGGGTCAAGGTAGGGTCTCATGTTGTGGTGTCGGGGTCGGGGTTTCGGTTGAAGCTTGTAAACCTAAGTTTGCCAACCGCAGCAGTGCCTGCAGGAGCTCCTGCAAACGGTGCTGCCCAAGTTTGAGCATCTTGACGCTGTTTAAGTTTCAGGGTTTGGGATTTAGGGCTTAGGGTTTAGGGTTTGCTGTTTAAGATTCAAGGTGTGGGATTCAAGAATTACCTTAAACTTCCAGGGACCTTGCTACTGTTGCGTCCTTAAGGGCTCTAGGGCTTTATAACAATAAGGTCCTTGGAAGCACCAGGGTTAGGGATACTGTGCCCTAAACCCTAAACCCCCAAACCCCTAAACCCTCAACCCCTCAACCTCTGAACCCCTAAACCCTAAGCCTTAAGCCTTTCGGGGGGGGGAGCTTGGCTTAGCTGCGCAGTGCTCTTTGCCACTTGGAGCCTGAGAGGTTTGGAGGTTGTCTAGGGCCTGGGGCCGGTCCGGATAGCCCCTGAACCCAAACCCGTTTGAACCGTAATCCCTGAGCCTTAGACTGCCTAAACCCGTATAAAGCCTAAACCCTAAGAGTTTCAGCGCTAGAACCCCGAGACGCTGAGCGGTCCAAGGGGCTCAGTCTCGCTGGTTTCCTCTGAGAATGAGGAAATTTGGACTAATTAATGGGGGGATTCCCTAAACCCCTAAACCCTAACTAAAGCGGAATCGGGGGAAGGAGCGGCAGGGTTGTGCTCTTCAGGTCCTTTCTGAAGCTTTAAGGTCAAACAAGCCCTCCAGCCAGGAGCAGAAGTTTGGAGTACTCAAGGATCATTTTCGGGGTTATGGTGTTCGATGTGGGCTCAGGTGACTTAGGTTTCAGGCTTCTTGCTCGGAAGGTTTTAGGGCTTAGTAGGGTTTTGGGACTGAGACTCCCCATGCTCAGGAAGCTCGCCGATGGTCTCCACCAGGCTATTGGCGTGGCTGACCAGGCATTGGACACTATGGGCGAGCGTCTTGGACTCTTGAAGGGGTTTGGAGTTTAGGGATTTTTTTGGGCTTGGTTTGCTCTTTCGGGCTATGGACTTCTTGGCTTGAGGGAATGCGGATCCTCAATAGCTCCGGGGCTGCAGCAGCCCGAATAACCAGAAACACGTTTTCACGCAGTGACTCTCAGGGAGCCGGCCGCAAAGAAGCTGGATGCCCCTCGGCCTCAAGTGTTCTCGGGTTTAAGGGTTTAGAGATTTAGCAGTGCCGGCTGGCACCATGATTTAGCCTTTAGGGGTTCCGGATTCTGCCTTTGACAGCATGGCGTTTTTTGACGATGACCACAGCAGGCCCAAATCCTATGCATAAACCCAACCCTTGATTGCCCCTACACCCTAGAGCCTGATCCCTCACACTTTGCCCCGAAACCCTGTGATACCCTTTCAAACTCTAAACTTCCGGAACCATAACCCAATCCCTATTCTGCCTTAACCCTATAAGGCATAAGCCTCTGTAAACTCTAAACTACATGTACCCTTCTCTTACAACCCATCTAAACCCGAAGACCCTCTGAGCCCCTCGCCCCAAACCCTCAACCCTAAACCCCTAAACCCCAACCCCAAGGGTCCAAGTACCTAATCATCATATATCCAAACTAGTAACCTACATAGCTACTATCCTAAAACAGAGTACCTGACAATTGGGTCCCTTGGACCCTTAGGGTAAACCCCGAGGATGCCATGTCACCTGTCTTCGCCACTGTGGACGGCTGGACACTTTCAGCCCAGGAGGCGCTGCAGGGGGGGGGGGGAAGTTTCAGAGTTCGGGTTTAGGGGTTCAGGAGTTTAGGGATTTAGGGTTCAGGGTTTACGGGTTTAGGGCTTTAGGGGTTTAGGGTTTTAGGGTTTAGGGTTTTAGGGTTTGGGGTTCAGGGGTTTAGGGGTTTAGGGTTTAGGGATTTAGGGTTTAGGGTGTAGGGTTTAGGGTTTGGGGCGGGGGGTGGGGAGTTTTGAGAGTTCAATATATCCTAAGGGTCCATGTGCCCCCCAAAAAGCTCCCTACATAGGTACACTGGGTCGGAAGTATATACTAATTGGGTACAGTAGGGATAGCCGTCATAAACTATTAGCGATATTCGTTTATATGGTTCCTTGCAATACTGACACCATAAATTTTTAAATGGGTATGAAATTTGGGAATTAAGGGCTTTAGCCCTGAAGCCTATGCCTTAAACGGGCTGTGGAGCTGGCGGGGATGGCAGTTCAGCCTTTTCGGGCTTTGGGGAGTTTATAAGATCTCGGGGTTTAGGGTTCAGGATTTCCGCTTACGGCTCAGGACATGGGTTTATAGGGTTTAGAGTTTCGGGTTTTGGGTTTTAGGGTTTAGGTTTTTAGGGTTTGGGGTTTAGGGTTTTAGGGTTTCGGGTTCAGTGGTTGTGGGTTTTGGGTGATCGAAGCTGTGTACTTACGGGGGAAGTAGAGTATACATATCAGGCGATGACGCCAACGTATTTATCACACATACAGAACCGACTATGACCCGTCAAGCACGGATCCTAAGCAAGTCACGGACTGGCGATGACTTTCTATTGAGTACCGGCTTTTGGGTCGTAAAGCTGCTGCCAAGCATCTGTTTTGCCGGACTCCGAGTAATGTAGCGGCCTAAATCATTTCCAATATTATTGTGGGGTTCCTTAGTATGATTATGATATAATGGGCCCCGAAACCTTGTTCTACTTATTAAGGCGCCTATAGTATGGCGATAGCGGTCTGCGTCCCAGTTCTTGCTCAAGCAAACACGATCAGATCTGAAGAACTGTGCCTCGACCACCACCGTTTGTACTCTTTCCTGCCTGGACCCCAAAAGTAAGTAGAATAGTAGCCTCTTATGGGTATTGGGCCATGTTTTATTTTACCTACTTTGGGGGGTTTATATAGGTGTTTGCATCTCTGTATAGCTGTTGTTCGTACAACAGTCCTTCTCAGTTTATATTCATCCCCATGCTTTTTTTTTGAAAGGGTCTTGGCTTCTGCTGAGGTGATGAAGACCCTGGATGCCAGCATCGCCGATGGTGCCGAGGAGGCGAAATCGGATGTTGCCGACGGAGCTCCAGCCAAAAAACTCGAACCCCATGGCAGGTGCCAGCCCCAAGCCCGTAGAGGAACCCTACCATGGCAGCCTTGACGGGAATCCCCACCATAGAACCCTCTGGCACCGTGTAAGGGAACCCTATTCTGAAACCCCAAAGGACCCTAAGAGACTGGGGACTTGATAAGCAGATTATCAGCAGAAGACCATGTTCCGCAGAATTCAGCACAAAGGGCCTTGCGGACGCGCTTGTGGCTGTGCAGGGCTGTGCCAAATTGTGATCGTTTCCTGGTTGAGGGGACCGGCTCTGCTATCTCGCTCATAGTGTCCTCTCTTGTCTGGCGAAGGTCGGGGCACCAAAGCCTAATCGATATAGGGGCTTATATAATTACCAGAAGTTCCTCATTATTATAGATACCCAAACTTTTCAGACCCTAGCATATTGAGGCCCTTGTATCACAGGCCAAGAGGAGCTAATCTCGAGTCAAGTCAAAGCAAAGCGCCAAACGGTCCGAAACAAACCGTTCAACAAGCTTGTAAACCCACCCTAACCCTAAGCTCGAAGCAACGAGCCCGAAGAGACAACAATAAGCCCATGAACCGTGGAGAGAAACAGTAAACTGAGCTCCCCGCTGCGACGTTTCAGGGCTCCAACGCAAGCAATGCCAGCAATGTCACCAATGCTTCTCTCCTGGCTGTGGACCCGGAACTTGAGCCGCAAGGGATTTGGGGATGAGGATCTTGCGACGCTGACATTCTCCACGATCAGAAAGTTTGTTCCTCTAATACCCCGAGCGTATGCGTTTGGAGGCCGAAGACTTTATGCTTAAGGCTGGTTAAGGGTACGATGGAACCGGGAGGATGGTATGCTAGTACTTCCATAACCCAAATCGCTGCTACGGAAGGAACTCCAGAGCCAACAAAACACATCAACGTAAAAGCATCCGTGCAGGCTCACCGTTGCCTTATGTCTGTTAGTCCAGAGCCTGCATCCCTGAAGCCCAGCCTGCCCAACGTGGGCTTCGAAGTGCAAGCGACGCCCTATCTTTGTCACGGTAACATTTTACATGTTTATATGTACTTAAACCAAATAATGAAGGAATAACAGTAATATTTTTGATGTTATCCCAACCATGAACTCGCTATCCCAACTCTAGACCACGACACTGCCGGATGAATCACGGGGTTTTGGGCTGTAGGGCAACCCAAGCTTCAGGCACCGAACCTGAAAAGTTCGAAAGCCTACAAACCTCAGCCCGCACGGCCTTTCACCATGGGACCCCCAACTCTAAAACTGCCGGTCTGTGAGATCAAAATCTCAAGATTGACACCAACACTACACACGACGCAGCATAGCACCAAAACACCCCAGTACAGACCCAAACTCTTCTACCAAGCCTGCTGCAGTTGACAAGCTTTCCATATCCGGCAATCCCCACTAGTAGCAACAACCGCAGAGAAGCAACTAACCTACGAACTAGCTAGCTAACTAACTACCTACCTAACTCTAATAAGCTACCCTAAACCCTAAACCCTAAACTAACTACATAAACCTAAGCTACCCGAAACCCTAAACCCTAAACTAACTACAAAAACCTAAGCTACCCTAAACCCTAAACTAACTACAAAACCTAAACTACCCTAAACCCTCAACCCTAAACCCTAAACCCTAAACTAGCTACAAAATCCACCGAACAAAGTTTTGAAACCCAAGGCGACCAAGCTGGCAGACGCACTTCGCGACCCCTTGGCCGGTCTCTCCCTGGCTGCTGGCGGCTGGACACCGATGTTTAGGGGTTTAGGGTTTTGGGAGTTTAGGGTGTATATAGGGGGTTCCCTTAAAGGGATCTATAAAGGGGTTCCTTTAAAGGGAGGTTTAAGGGTTTTAGGGTTTGGGGTTTGGGGTTTTTGTGGCTTTAGGGTTTTAGGGTTTAGGGTTTTAGGGTTTAGGGTTTGGGGTTTTAGGGTTTAGGGTTTTGGGGATTAGGGTTTAGGGTTTTAAGGTTTTGGGTTTTAGAGTCTGGGGTTTTTAGGGTTTTCTGTTTGGGGTTCAGGGTGTTGAGGGTTTAGGTAATGCAGGGCTCAAGGGATGCAGGGTTTTGGGGATGTAGGGTCAAGGATGGCGTATGTATATAAGGGTCTCGGGTTGAGGATTGTGGTGTTGTTGGTCAGGGTAAGTATTCGTGTTTCTGAGTTGAAGCAAAATACAGGATCGGAATAGATAGCTCTAGAATTCCCTTATTAGTCCCTAGGTTGTTGTACCCTGGTATACCTCAACACCCTACTTAAGTAGGTAAAATACTGGCCCAATACCCATAAATTGGCTATTATTAACGGTTTAGGGTTTAAGGTTTTGTGGGGTCCAGGTACACTCTCATTAGGCGGGGGCCGAGGGGTTCAAGACTGATGCAAGGCCAGCTGCACGGCCTGGCAAACAAGACCTTCGATGCCATGTCACTTAGTCTGCAGTAAGGGCTTAGGGCTTTTGAGTTTCCTAGGGTGTGGGGACACTTTCTTCGTTGAACTGTCGGATAATGACAGCTCTGGCGGTTGTTCGCGGTTCTTGCGACATCAGGCGCCCCTGTAGGCAGTCAGCGTTCAAACACGTACGGTCTTCAGGCTTCAAGGGCCAAGGTTGGTCGAGGTCCAGTTCTTGAGTGATTTGAAGATCTACCCAAATGCCTCCGACAGTGTTCAAGCCGGGCAGCAGTGTGCTTACGGTCAATCCGTAACTTCTCAAAGGAACAACTTCGTGGACGCCGGGATCGATGCTGCGTCTGGCAAGCTGCCAAACGACCTGCTGTCCAACTTCTCCGACATCCTCGAGGGAGTTCAGGAGTGTTTTTTCTGCTTTGCGCTCTGGGGGAGGTTGAAGTTAGGCTTGATCCATGCCTGCTTGCAAAGCTTACAAACACGGTACCCTGAACCCGGACCCTTTGAACCCGCAACCCGAACCGATCACCGAAATCTTGGAATGAGTTCCCCCTTGCCCATAAGACCCAAACTCCGAAACCCAAAAGCAACCCTGGGTTCGGAGCAGCATACTTGAATACTGTTTTTGGTACCGGCTCCTTAAAGGAACCAGTATGAAATAGAAGTCTATATATAATTACTCTTTTCTCCCTGGCTACTTCAAAGTCCAGCAACAGAAGTGAAGGAGAAGGCCCGCCTGGAGTTGGAGCCTTTGACCACGGTCGGCGACGAGATCGTCGATGGCCTCTACGAGACTGCGCAGGATTTGGGCTCTGCTGGCCCTATACCCTATGTATACTTAAGCCCTACCCGGACCCCAAAAGTATGTAGAATAATGGCCTTTTATGATCTTTTATGGGTATTGGGCCATTATTTTACCTTCTTTGGGAGGTTTAGGTAAAAAAGAAACTACCTTAATCCCAGCAGTGCTGGGTGCTTTGAAGCTTAGGGGCTCCCGGGTTTGCTGATTCGTTTGTTTGTGGCTTCGGAAACTGTAGCGTCGAGGTTCGTTGACATCGTGGTCCGGGACAATCGGGGTCTGGAAATTGAGGATTTTGGTGGCTTAGGGGTTTGGGGACATTGGAGAACAGTCCGGTTTCCTTTCGGAAGGGTGCGTGCGTAGCGTTACATAAAAAAAAATATATATATATATATATATATACATACATACATACATACATACACACACACACATAAATCCATGCAAACATATGTCCGTATTCACATGCGTGTGCTTCTGGTTCAAGTTTTTGGGGCGAATGTCTGTGATGGCAGAAGACGTGTTGAAGCTGCCGCCTATAACCTCAATGCTCATCAAAGCCCTGAACCCTAAATCTACAAACCCCAAACCGGCAGCAATCCTCACCAGCTAAACCCCGGAAGCTTCAGGATGTGGTCAGCTTTTAAGGCCTTTCTAGGGCTCAGGGTTAACAGTTTTGATTTGCCGCATGCCGCCCGCATGAGGCATCTGTTTGCTGTCAGGATAATTATGAAGCCCAGGCACTCAAAATTGCCTGGCGGTCCAAGTACCCCTACACTTGGGCCTTGCAGAAGCTAGTATGTAGGATAATTACGCGGGGTAAGTACGCGGGGGATTACCGGCAGGGTATGTCAGCCAACGCACCCCATTGAAATTAAAACCCAGACCGAGGTTCAGGATTTCGGGTTCGGGGAGGTCTGGCTTTGGGGCGTTGTGTTTTTTTTGGTCTTCGGCGTGGTTGAGGGTGTCGAAACGGAGCTTCAGCTTCTGCTGCAGGAGGCGGGCGTGAACGTGAAGCCGCGATCCGGTGCCAGCCGTGGTGGCTCGGACGTTCGAAGTGTATAGGCTTTACGAGTTTGGGGTATTAGGGTGCGGGGTTTAGGGCACGGGGTTGAATGCTTATGTTCCAAGGAAAGCCCAGCACTAATCATCCTCATCCCAGGTTCCAACATTTACATAAACCCCACCTTGGGGATATACTAACGTACATTCAGATCTGGGCATAAAACTTCGGCCGGACTTGGAGCCTTCACGTTCTACCAACTTTATGGCTGTAGCCCTAGGTCCTGAGCTCCCAGTAGAGTCTACACAGCTAAAGCCTCATTGAAAAGCCGTAGGATTAGCCGAGGAGACAAGCTTCACTTATCTTCTCTGGGTGCACGTTGGCCTTGCCTTTTCTTTATATCCCAGCCTGCATCATCGATTAGGCGAGTTTTGGGCCAGGGAACTCAGCAACTGGGAATGCCGAAGCCTGAATGGCAGGCGGTCTTGCGCTGATCTCCCTGGCCGTGGGAGCACTTGCGACATTTTGAGGAGGCGTGCCATACTGCTTGTGTTCGATATGTTGTGATATGGTTTGTGGATTCTCGGTTCAGAGTGTCGGAGTTGAGCATGTAGGTTTGGGGTTATGGCGTTGAGGATTTTGTTTAAGATTTCGGATATTATCCCTTGCGATGACATATGGGTAGGAATGCCAAGCGTTCAATCTCGCACAAGATGCAACAGACAGCTGTTGATTTCGGTGGCATGTCGCCTCACGGGTTTCATGACATAACAGAGTTCGTTCATTCTGTGCTAGTAAGCATTGCGAGCCCCTAGGATGCCAACTTACGCTTCTTCGCTAAGGGTTCAGGATTCGGTTGTGCTGTTACTGTTGAGGGAAGGGCAACGCAATGCTGCGCGGCATTGGATTTAAAGCTTTGGAGTCAGGCAAACAGAAGCCAAACTGTAGGCTGTACCTGGCCGCTACTAATGCTGCACTTGGAATGATCGCGCTGGAGGGACACGAGCATCTTCCGTTGAGAGGTACATGTTGTTCAGACTTTCACAAAGGGATATCTCCGAACTAGCATGGAAAACGGTCTGCTCTCAGTCTCGTGTCTTAGTAGTAGATGGAGCTTTTAAGAATTTAGGCCTGTTCGTTTATGCAGCCTGCTCCTCAACAGAGCGTCTGTTCACTTTGTCAGGTTCGGTTTCAACAGCAGCATAGAATTGTAGAATTGTAGAAGTCTGAATGATTGGCAATACAATTCCCATTGCGTTTCCTATTACATTGTCAAATCATAACATACCTGCAGACCTAGCATAAGTCCACTAGGGCAAATATTCCGCACACTGTCTGCAGGTCGTTCGAGCTCCTAGTCCCTGCGGTCTGCGCTGACACCGGAGACTGGAGAAAAAAGACAGCTCTTCTCCTCCCTGGACCCCAAAAGTATGTAGAATAATAGCCTTTTATGGGTATTGGGCCATTATTTTTCCTAATTACTTTGGGAGGTTTAGGTCTGAATTCCTCACGACCAAGCTAAGAATGACTAAGCGCACGCTAAGCTGGAAACCCGCAGTTCCACAGATGTCACAGAAAGATCGTGCCAGGGCTCTGCTTCAGCGTCCACTTATTTCATCAGTAGCTGAGTAGATAACTTCCGACTTGTTGGGGTTTTTATATAACCTTACCATAATTGAAAAGGGTACACAGCCCCCAAGTTTCCGAGTTATGTCCCCATTTGGTGGCATCCCGACGGCATCTACGGTTCGGTCTTTCTTGGGGCTATGTTAGCCACTCCATATTGAAGCAGGTTCCAAAGTTCAACATTTTGGCGACTTAAGTGGTAGCCTTCAACCTGTCTTGGTCCGATATGCCCCCAGCTTATTTGAAAAGGCTAGGTGCCGCTTGCACCCGGGAACTCTCCCAGAAGCCAAACACCCTTCACTATAGGGGCCTGAACAACAAGATGCCCCCCATTCCACTCTCATCCTCCAGGCCCTTTGCAGTGACTCTTAGCATTCCCTCTTGATATGCCTACCTAAACCTCCCAAAGTAGGTAAAAAATAATGGCCCAATACCCATAAAAGGCGATTATTCTACATACTTTTGGGGTCCAGGCCCCATTCTGGTTATGAAGGCCCCCCCCCCCATAGTAGCCTGTGCTTGCAGGCCTGGCTTGAAGACTTTGACGACGAGCGGCCAGTTCGGGGATACTTCGCCCACGCCCTTGTAGAGGCCAGGAGGGTTTAGGGTTTAGTGGCAGGATCTTGGTTTCGGGGGCTTCGGGATTTAAGTTGGGATGTAGGGTCTTAAATTGGGCTTTGGGACCACTTTGGGATGTAAGCTTTTGGGCTTTACGATGTAAGGTCTGTTTAGGGGCCGTACTTTAGGGTTTGGTGTGTAGTGTGATGGCTTGGAGAACTTCAGGGCTGTTCGGCTTGAAACGTTGACAGCACCAGTATATTTCCAGGCAAGGATCCAAGAAGCCAAACCCTATAAGCCGAGACCTGAACCCCCCATCCCTAAACTTCTAGACAGAGCACTCGGAGCCCAACGCCTGATCCCACCCACCCGATTCATCAGAGAGGGTCATGCCAGGCCTCGAGCAGATTCCGGATAGCCATGGGCGCTGAGATGCGCGCAGCCAGCAGGCCGAACTCACGGTGGGAAATTCAGGTTTCAGGCTTGTGGGTAGGAGTTTGGGGTTCTAGCTGTTGCGAGGTAGCTGAAGGTTACGAACATGGGCAGGAACCCGGAATCCAAAAGGCTTCCCGAAGGACTAACGAAACCTGCAGCCAAAGGCAGGACCCAAACTGAATCAGCCATATCGGGTTGTGTCATACCAACGTTCTGTCGGCCATATCACGGGACAGCATGAACAGCCAACATATTGAGATGGTCTCCGTTGGCGTCATGGCGTGACTTGAATCGCTCTTCCATGGTAGTGTTCATGCGCACCTTGACCAGCACGTTCTTATCAGCCCGAGCCCGAGCCCTCCAGGCTGTAGGGCACAGTGATGCGAGCAGGTCGCAAGCCCCCGATCAGCGATTCGGATAAAGAAGTTCTCAGTGATTAAGAAACCCTGGGCCTCGAACTCCTAAAATAGTAGGATTCATATAAGGAGCCCTAATAAAGGCCCAAGGTTTCTTAATCAGGTTCCCAGTGATAGGAAACTTCAGTTCCAGCAAAATCTCGAGCTGTCCTGGGAGGCTGGCTTGCCTGCAAGTCACCTTCGAAATGCCCTTTGGCAAGGCCCGTGGGTCGACGTTAAGGATCCCTGATTAGAGCTTAAGGCTTATAGGGTTTAGGACTGTAGGATATGGGTACGGTATCATAAGCAATGTACGGTATCATAAACATGGACACTGCATGGTACTTCGATTTTCGATTAAGGCTATTCAGTAAGAGCATGTTTGTAAGTAGCTCGCCCTTGATGGCTGTCGCTGCGACACTACAAGTAGGTGCACTGTCGTCATTACTTCCTCACTATTGTCCTAAGTCCATAACCGAATTCGCCTCAGCGTCACAGAAGCCTCTAACCCTGCACTTCGAAACCCCGAGCCCTGGACCTAAACTCCTAAACTCCTAGAGCCTTTCAACTCTAAAGCCCGTAGGCGCTTGAGCACATGGACTTCGGCGGGCCCCTCCCTGCTGGCCATCTGCGCCTTCCACGGGCCCGGCGCCAGCCTCCGGAGCTGCAAAAGCTTTTTGTTGGTTCGAGTTTAAGGTGTAGGGTTCTAGGGCTTAGGGCTAAGGCTTCGGGCGTGTCTTACATGCATTGTTGTTGTTTGTGTTTTGTGCTTTTTTCTGTTGTCTCCTCCTTTGGGTATAGTTTTACATGTTGTGTGTTGGAAACATATCTTATTTGGAGGTTTCGTGTTGGCTTGCATCGTGAATTTATTGTCTTGGTCAGGAACTTGTGTTTCCATCATCTTGACTGTTCAATGCTGTTCGGTGTGAGTTGTCCTGTTGTTTTTGGAGGGGGGCTGCGAAAGCTTACGGCACTGTTGTAACATGTATGACTGGTCCTTCTATCATTATGTAATTAGTAGACTACGTATGCCACCCGAAATCCTTGTTCTGACATGTTCTAGTCATTGACGCCCGTTTTTTACATCCGGCACCTGACGCCCCCGAGTTCCCTTCGATGGAGCCCTGGATCCCAGGTACGCTTTGCAGGAGATCCTGGTGAAAGGTGGCCGAGGGAAGGAGCCCCGGGTTCAGCGACCGTGGTTTTAGGTGTAGCAAGTGTAGCATTCAGGGTTGCGGTGTTAGGGTTTAGGGTTGAGTGATGTTTGTTTAGGACCATAGGTATGTCACGGTTATAGTATGTTCGAGTTTGTCGTAGGTTTTTGTGTGCAAGCTCTGGCCTCAGAGGTAGAACTATGGGTTGCATGCAGCTCAGCTCGAGTAACTAGAGGTATGTGGCCTGCTTGCCATGCCAAAGGAAGTGCTTGTAATTGATTCAGCACAACAGCAGGATGAGGCTCCAGGTCGGGCTTGTACGGCTTAGGGGTGAACTGTGGAATATGGTTAGGATGCAAGCATGTTGTTTTGAGCCGGTATGTTCTTTTATGTTGTGAGCAGATTTGAGGAGAAACTGCGACCAGCTGAGAATCTGAAGCCGGAGTCCTCTCTGAAGGCCAGGCTGGCTACCTTCTTCAGGGAGCTCGAGGGTGCTTGTCTGTATGGGGGTTGAATTATCAGCGTTTCAATCGGGCCGTAAGAGGATTACGGGTTTATCAATGTAGGTTTAGGTCACAGAGTTTGGGCTGCAGGATCGTCTGGTCATAAAGTTTGGGCGTTTAAAGATGCAGGATCAAACCAGGGGCCCTTCATAATTGGAAGAATTACAACGATTAGGGCTTGGGGTTTGCTATCGTATACGTACATGGAGACATCGTCGGCGAGAGCCCTGCAATGCTGTAGGTGTTTGGTGCCCATCGGCCTGCTTTCGGACGACAAGCGGAACCGTTGTACTGCAAGTCTCTGTGTGTTTGTCTGTGTGCCTGTACATTGTATACCCTCTGCATACATATATATATATATACACATGTATGCAGATGTACAGATATACAGCAAGTACGCATGAATATGTCGGAATGTACGTACAACATATACACATGCCACAGTATGTATGCATGCATGCATGCATGCATGCATGCGTATCCTGTCCTTGTGCGTGTGCATCTTTCACGAAAATAGCGTTCTCACGCATGTGGCAATTTGAAAGATGTCTTGAAATTGAAGATCTGGCTTTATTCATAGGCGCAGATTTGGCTTGTGGACAGTTTCCCGCTAGCCTGAGCAGCCATGCTATCCAAGCTTGCTAGCTTGACCGGAGTGACAGCTCGGCGTCAAGTGCGCTCACTGAGCTCATTTGAGAGTCTAGGGGTGGCGACCAACATGATGAAGGATGGCTTGAAGCTGTTCCGTCACAAGAAGTTCGAAGTGGCGGTGATTCTGCCGGACAAGACGAGAGCCCTGAGCCAACATGATCCCCGGGGCATTTTCTTGAACCAGGCTATCAAGGATCTCCTGCAGAAATCAGGCATCGTTGACAACAGTCAGCTCAGCATGTATTATTTCTGCGGACCGAACGGCTCCAAGGTACACCTTCTGACTGACAGATGCTGGGGAACTTTCTTTGAGAAGTTGACCTCCGGTCGCCAGTATGAGCTTCACATTGACCTCGTGGACCCCAGACCGCCCGTGTTAGCCGCCAGCCAAGATCCACTGGCAAGCCAAGCTCAACTTCAAAACAGGCCGTCATCGCTGTCGGAGGTGATGAAGGGCATCAAGTCAGAGTTGTCCGCGCTGTATCATGATACATGGAAGCGCCTGATCGCTAGTAGCGATGCAGATGAAACGGCATTGGAGACGGTGCAAGAGAAGCTCGAGGGCTATGGGTACTTCGATTTCACGGACGATCTGACCAAGCTTGTGGAGAAGCGCGGTGTTTCGAAGAAGAACTGGCATGAGATGGTTGATGCGTGGGTCGAGGCAGGTCTGCCCCCCAGCAAGGCAAGCGAGTTCAAGTTGGCAGCCGAAACCGAGGAGGGCGACTCCTGTAGCGAGATGTTCGAGAAGACAACAAGTCATGACGGTGTCCATGTGCGAAAATTGCATTATCTCAGAATCCAAGTCTTGCAGCGCGTTGATGGTTTGCTTGACATTCTCTTTGCCGTGCACATTGCCACCGCCTACCTTGACATGACAGCTCCAAATTTCAAGAAGGCTACAGGTCCAGTAGCAAACAACTACTTCAAAAAGTATATGCGCTTGTCTTCCGCTTCTTCCTGGAAGGAAGAAGTTGCATGCAAGCTGGACTCAACGAAGAACTAGCCAAGCTTGGCTGAACAGGTCAGTAGCCGCTCAGGATCCAGGAGTGGTTCTGGAAGTCGGCTGCAGTATTAGCGACTGGGCTTGGTCTTCCACTTGTGTCCGCACCTATGCGGCTCATGCAAGCCCGTGCATGCAGGGAGACATCTGCGCATAAAAACAGGTAGGGAATATATCGGCGCCCATATCCCACCCTCTATCTGTTATCTATATCTATCTATTGTCTGTCTTTCTGCCAGCCTGCTGTCATGCTTATTTATTGGAACGAATACGGCTATGCAGACTTCCCATGTCGTGGTTGCGAGCGGTCCCCGAATCAAGATTTGCCATTCCACGGTCGTCACGGGCTGTGGTGAGAAGAAGATTTGGGCTTAGGGTTAGGTGGTGCATGATGTATGGTGCACATGACATAGCTGCAACCCCCATCAACATGCCTCAGTCCTAGTCCTGAATGAGCGACTTTGTTTCAGGTTGTGAATACCACGCAGAGCAAAGAATATGGAGGGACACTGCAGCACCATATGCGACGTTAGTTTCAACTGGATCTGGAAGCTGAACTGCGCTGTGCGAATTATTTGGTTTCGAAGCTTGTTTCTGTTGCTACCGTTTTTCGATCTCCAAGAAATCCCGACGAAATACAGAGCGCCGCTCAACACAACACTCTAAAGATCCCGAGATGGCGTTGAAGCCCCTAAGGCACCCTGCCTGAAGCCGTATGAACTCCAAGAGGGTAAAGCCTCTAGACATCATGCCCTAAGCCCACTAAAGACCCTGACGATGCAGCTTCTCGAAGACTCTAAGACCCCGTGAGGCGGCGCTGTACAACGAGGCGCCTGCCATTCTTCTCGATGCCCCTTGTCGTTGCGACCCTGGGCTTCGGTCCATAGTGGTTTGTGGCTTCTCGCCTAACGTGTATTCTTTAGACTTACAGGGCCTATAAGCGAACCAGGGGACTGAGCAAGGACGAAACATGGTATGGTTGGGGCTAGCATGAATGGTGCCTGTGCTCCTGCCTGCCTGCATGCCTGCCAGCAAGGAACCAGTTCCGGGAGTCCTGTATCTCAAGTATATCTCTAGTATTTTCCGGGCTTGTATACTTTTGTACATCGGCAAAGCCCCAGCAATGGAAACCTTTCCTCTTCTTTGTTCGACCTTTCGGACTCTGTTTGTCACGACATCGTTTTGCCGCTGTTTGGCCTGCAAGGTGCACGGATGGACGGATGGATGAATGGACGCATATAGTGTCATGCCATCACAATCATTATGTGTAGTATTTTGGTTATCGTTATCAAATCACCATGGCCAGTATCGTTATCAAGGTCACTATGATCCCCGTCAGCATTATCACTACATTCACAAAAGTCGCCGTCATCGTTATCACCACCATTAAACACTATCACCATCATCATCGCCATCGTCATCGCCACCATCATGTCATCATCATCGCCATCATCCTCATCATCATAATCATCATCATAATCATCAGCATCATCATGGTCATCATGGTCATCAACAGAATCGAGACTATTGTTCTCAGTATAAGTATGACTCTGGTGGTCATTGTCATTGGAATGCTCATGTCCATTGTCATCATCAGCACCACCGTATCTTCGTCAGCCGCATCTGCATTACCATTGTTTTCAGCATATCTATCGTCAACCTGAATGCCACCACCGCCCATGAGTTACACGGCCGTCGAATCGGTTTCGTCATACAAAGAAGAAAGGCCCTAAACCCTGAAACCCTCAATGCATCCTGACGGCCTAAATCTTAAAGGACCAGCCTGGAAAGTCTAAGCTCAGGTTTACGCAGCACTGGCTCCCCGAGCGGCCGTCAAAGAGCACGGCGGGGAACTCGGATGTCCACCAGCTGAAGAAGCCTTGAGAGCCCTGGCAGGTGCTGCACAAGCTTTGTACCCAAAACCTTGCCGCTAAGACTCCAGCTAACCCTATTGCTCACGCTGCCCAGGTCTCGGGGAGGTGGTGAAGGCCCGTCCACCGAGAGCCATGCAGTTTTAGCTGTGGGGATTTCATCAACTGTCATGCAGGTATGCTCAGGGTTTTGCGTCATCTAAACCACGAAGACGTCGCCGATGGCGGCGATGTGACGACGAGGACGACCAGAACGACTGCTTCTGGAAACGGCGACGACGACTGTGTGTTGACGACGAAACTGCTATACTGTCATGGGTCTACTACAGAAGGACTGCCGTGCCCATCATTGAGTTTGGATTGCGGAAGGGTGCAGGGTTTAGTTGCAGGCCCCTGACACCTTAGATTCTCTGCATTGAGGGCTATGGCAAAATGTGGTCAGGGAGGTTCACCAGGTTGCGCATGATAACTCGTGCCCGACATACTTGGGCCAACTTGTGGCGGTACATAATGAGCAACTGAAAAGCTGGTGCGTGCGGTGCTCTACAAAGTTGCAGTTTTGTGTGACAGGGAGGGGTGAGGAAAGTTGCGCTTCAGTCTGGTGGGCGCGTCTTTTGTAGTTGGCCTGAGGCAGGTGCGATTGAGCTTTATGTACCGAGGCCAGGGCATTGGTGCCACTGTTTATTTTAATTCTCCTTGTTGAATCGATTCTCCTTTCCCTTCGAAAGTTTTATACAAGCAGGCCCCTCCTCTCCCTCCTGCACAGCTAGGACCTCAGCCTAGACCCTAAACTGCCCTAAACCCTGAATAATGCTACTTGACACTCAAGAACGAAGTCAAGCCTACAACGAATGGTGGGCAGGCAGAGTTTATGGGACTGCTCCACCGTGCCAAGAAGGCCGGCCTCTGATTGTTGGGGAAGGTGTGGGAGTGTGCATCAAAGGGAGAGCCCTCTCGCAAACACTCACATAGGCTTTGGGGCTTAGGATTTAGGGTTCACGGGTACATCCCCACATCACTCGCTTAGTCAATGCGCTATCAGGCCATGTGTTCTTTCGTTAGCATTTGGGCGGTTGAGTGACGAGCTGTGCAGACCGTTTCATCAGGGGTGCATCAATCGTGCCGGACTGTTGTAGAAATGCAGAACAATCCAAACAACCTAAACACTTTCCCGGAATCGTGGATCCTGCCATGAAAGATCTGACCTCAATAATTGAACTCAGCAGAAACCGTGAACCGTAAACGGGGTGGGGTTGTCTCATGGCTGTTGTGTTGCATTTTGAGGGTTTAAGTGGGACCCTGCGCCTGCTCATGAACCAGAGGAGTGTTCGGGTTCGTGAGCGTGGACCACAGACCTTCGCCAACAAATCTTGGTGTGCCGTGTTCGCCCTAATATTATCCCTCCACGGTCCAGCAAAACAATCAGGCAGGTGAGCCGCTGTAGGTTGGTTCTGGTGTAGGGCCGGTGGACGTTTCCGGCTTTTAGGTGCAGTTTCAGCCCTTGGACAAAGAGCTCAACAATTCTGCAAGTTCAAAACCCGAGGCTTCTTGAGCCCTAAACCCCGTTAGATCTAGCCCCAAACCCCTAAACCTGTGAAGAAGGAGAGGAAGATCCTCGTTTCTGAGCCCCTAAACCCCTAAACCCTAAACCCGAAGCCCCATCAACCCTTTTCCAACGAACCCTAAACCCTAGATAACCTTAAACAAAAAACACACCCCCTAGGCCCTAGGCCCGAAAACCTGAAACCCGAAACCGTTAAACCCCCTACAAGCACCCTAAACCCTCTACAGTACCCACAAACCCCTAAACCCTGAGACCCCGAAACCCTAAACCCTAAAGCCCTCAAGCCCTAAACACGACGAAGGAGAGGAACATCCTCAACCCCAAACCCCCCATAAGCCCTATTACCCCTAAACCCTAAATCCTAGACCCTAAATCCTACACCCTAAATCCTAAACCCAAAAAAAAACCCCTAAATCCTACACCTGGTTACCCCCAAACACGACGCAGGAGAGGAAGATCCTCATCCATTGGCCTTAAAGTAGTCCCTATACATTGGGGGTACATGGACCCTTAGAGTTACCCCTCAATGAGAAGAAGGAGAGGAAGATCCTGAACCCTAAACCCCCCATAAGCCCTACTACCCCTAAACCCTGAATCCTAAACCCTAAACCCCCATAAGACCCTTAGGGTTACCCCCAAATGAGAAGAAGGAGAGGAAGATCCTCGTTTCTGAGCCCCTAAACCCCTAAAACCCCAAACCCTAAACCCTAAAGCCCTAAAACCTAAACCCCAAACCCTAAACCCCAAACCCTAAACCCTAAACCCCAAACCCTAAACCCCAAACCCTAAACCCCTAAACCCTAAACCCGAAGCCCGTAAACCTTAAAGCCCCAAACGCGACGAAGGAGAGGAAGATCCTCATCTTCATGCTCGGGGGGCCGAGCTACTTGAATTGGCAAAGACTGACATCCCCCGAAACTTTTGGGATCGTGAGTTTAGGGTTTCGGGTTTGGGGGTTTGGGGGCTTTGGGTTTAGGGCGTTCAGGGTTTTGGAATTTAGGGTTTCGGTTTTGGGGGTTTAGGGGCTTTGGGTTTAGGGTTATATGGGTTTAGAGTTTGGGGGCTTTGGGTTTAGGGTTTGGGGTAGTGGGTTCCTTTAAAGGGGTGGGAGTTTAGGGCCTATCAGGGGTATTATGGGGGTTTAGGGCTTCGGGTTTGGGGGGTTTAGGGGCTTTGGGTTTAGGGTGTTGGAGTTTAGGGTTTCGGTTTTGGGGGTTTAGGGGCTTTGGGTTTGGGGTAGTGGTTTCCTTTAAAGGGGTCTATAATAGGAGGACTATCAGGGGTATTATGGGGGTTTAGGGCTTCGGGTTTGGGGGGTTTAGGGGCTTTGGGTTTAGGGTGTTGGAGTTTAGGGTTTCGGTTTTGGGGGTTTAGGGGCTTTGGGTTTAGGGTTTTGGAATTTAGGGTTTCGGTTTTGGGGGTTTAGGGGCTTTGGGTTTAGGGTGTTGGGTTTAGAGTTTAGGGTTTCGGTTTTGGGTTTGGGGTAGTGGGTTCCTTTAAAGGGGTTTATAAGGAGGACTATCAGGGGTATTATGGGGGTTTGGGGCTGCGGGTTTGGGGGTTTCGGT